GTGATATCTACAGTGTTTAGTTGTGTTTAGCATCAAGCTGTTTGGAGAAAATAGTGTCAACCGAAGGTTTTTAGCCACAAAACTTGGTATGCCAACCCGAATCATAACCCTCCATCCAGTGCTTTCCAGCCATGGTGATGGCTGTCAACTGAACCGGTCACATGATGCATCCTTGCAGATGGAGAAGAAATCGTACGACTGCGACTTGTCATGGAGCATATCCACCTGCATCCGTCGCCACTTTGACCAGAACTGATATCGCAACTGGACAGTTCAAAAAACTCTTCAGCCATTAGTCAAACAATTGACAGTCCTGATGATCCGCAGGTATATAAAAAGAACATGGACAGAAACGATTCGCGCCGGTTCGGGGGGTGATATGTGTTCATGTGTCATCTCTATCATGTATTATCATCTACTATATCATATATTATAATTATAATATATTATATATATATACAAACTGTGTACGTACAGTGTATATATATATATATGTATGTATTTGCATATATATATATAATTATATATATATATATGTATATGTAATATGTATGTATACATATACTAATATGCATTATATGTGTACAACCATCTACTGACATTCTGTAGTCAGTAGTCAGTAGTCCTGCCTGGCCGATGAGTTCTACCTTGATGCCTCACAAGTTTCCGGCGCCCTTCGGAACTGGCTTGGGGCCACTAGAAAAATGTTGCCGGGCACTTTGAATCAATCCCAAATGAAATAGATCAGTAGGATCAATAGGATCAGTAGATGAATCATCCCAAATCAAGATGAATAGCAAGAGATACTTTGCAACAGCGAAGCAGTGATGGATGCACAGGTCTGTTCGTGTGCCATGCAAAAATGCCCGCTGAACACAGCAATAGGCGGACATGAGCGCTCTCATCCCACATAACGAAGAAGAAAAAACGGTGAGATGCAACACCAAACTTATCCCGTCTTATCCCAATAATCCAATCATATTTCATTAAAATCAAAAACCACTAACTTCAGTGATGCCGTGCTGCTTTGCTTCGCATCCCAATCCAATCGAAGAATCTTTATGTCCCTGAGACCTGTGACACCCCCAACCCCAACCCCAATCCATTCCCAACAGGCCTTGGTGATCCATCTTCTTGCCAGGTCTCATGCTGACCACTGCAGTGCCCATGACGTCCTGGCTGCGACCCCACTGGGCCATGGCGAAGCTCAACCGAAAGCTGCAAGCAGACGGCCTCTCCATCAGTGAAGATGTAGGCGCGCTCGCCCTTCTTGTCTTTGCCTTCCGCAAGGGTCACTCTTCGGGGACTCCTTCTTATATTACTTAACAAAAAACCATCAATGTGTTGATGGGACGGATGTGTAACTCATCTGGTATGACCGAAGTTGTTTGGTTATGTCTTGAGTGACACACACACACACACCCATAATGCGCATAATGGAAGATATTCCATGATGGTCTCACAACTGGCTGGACTGATCGGTATGAAACATCACATGAAAGCACCAAGCAGAAATGACTTGACGGATGACGGGAACCCCCGGACCGGCTCCGCCTAAGGCCGCAGTCTTGCGGTTCTGCTCCGCATCAAAAGTGATGTCAATGGAACAAACGGAACCAAAGAGGCCCCCAAGCATGGAAGACCTGCGATGGGGTGTGGGAAAGGATCCAGCTGGTGAAGTCTATCATCACATATAGGCATCTATCTATACATATATATATATATATTCTCATTATATATGCATATAATGTTTTTTTACTATCTCATGTTCTGTAAAACATATATATATAACACACATATACACACATTTTTATTTTCAATGATTGGGACTGTTGGATTGATCCAATCTCTTTTGAGCGGACTAGTATACTACCAAGCGCAAGAGACTAACAAATGGGCTGCCTCTGCCATTTCGGAACGCCAAAGCAATCGTTTTCCATGGAAGGAAGCATACGAGACCTCTCCAGGACCTTACTCCTGAATTTGACAATGGAAACTTAGGATACCTTTGGATGTTCTAGATTGGGTGATAGGTCTTGCCTGAGAGTATTGATGACTTTGGATCCTTTTTGCCTCCACTTTTGGAACCACTTGCGTGGAAGAGGGAACTTTGGCCTGAGGGATGCCCTGATGAAGATTGATGAAGTATCTTCGGATACTTCATCAATCCAAGTCATAAGGCCACAAGATCCGTGGCATGTCATCCTGGCAACCACAAAAAATGCCCTTCATTTTAGCTTGACTTGGGGACTACAGTGTATGGGAACGATGGCACCATGTAAAGAATAGGTACAGCTGATGCCTTTTCATATTCAAACCATCTTAAATCCAATTGACACAAAGACATCCAATTGCATATTTGGGTCTGGCTCCAAACACTGGTAGCAAAGGAATATGTGTGACTTTTTATTCTCAGGTTGGTGGTTTCCACCTCGTGGAACATCAGTTCAATGGGATCCAATATATTTAAAACAACTCATTCACTGGTTATATCTGGTTCATCCTGGTTCTATCACTAACAGTTACATATCAAATCCCCATCAGAATCCAAAAACTCTTGGCTCCCCAGTAGTTGGTCATCTCCAAATCATCACTTGAGGAGCCCACGACACAGAGCTGCCCAAAGTGACAGCTGACACACCTACCGACACTGTGGACGGTGCTGCCAACTGGTGAGCGCCGTTGATTTTTGATGATTTCTTGATATTGTTGGTTGATTTCAGGAACGGAATGTACTTGAAAACTTTTTCAGGATTCCGTACCTATCAGCTGGAATACTGATTTATCACCAAGCCAGACATAGGATCTGCTTTTTCATGCTAATCCAAAGTGGTCGTTCCTATTCGTCCCTAGAACATTCCATGCACTGACCATTCTCATTCGGCCCGCCTGAAACGATTCCACTTGGAGGAGGATAAACGCGGCGGTTGAGCCAAGCGGCCAGTGGATGTGTACCATGAGACTGCGTGACAACTGTGACAACGCACGGCAAAAAGGCGGTATGACACCCCATTCTGAGACTCTGACAGTCCATTTCCGACATTCAAAATCATTCAACCAAAAGTCACGCAGTATCGTAACTAAACATTCAACGGGGAACACATGGGAACACGATCTTTGAAGTGGATACAAGGTGCCCTGACCTGTGCCTACCAATCTGTCCGCTCAAAAATGGGTTGAAATACCCTATATTGAACTCCTCCTGGATTGAATGGTTTAGAAACCTTGGGCCATAAAACCCAAGCATTTTGCAGGTCCTGTCCGTTGAGTTCGGGGACATTGCGCAAGCCATCCAGTGCCACCTGCTGTCTTTTTCATGTTGAGGACGAGGATGGACCAACCGAGGTCAAGGAAATTGTGGGTCATTTCCCCATGGAAAAATCCTGAAACTCTGCAATCCATCTACTATCTCTTCAAATTCATGGCCTTGAACGATTGCGTGGAAGGCAGTTCACCCATAAAGCCCTTTTGTGTTTCTGCATGCTTGACCTGTAAAATGTCACAACCTAGTTGTTGTATGTTGTTGTCTCAAATTCGATTCTAGCCGGTTGGGACATTGGGGATCAGGGGAAACCTTCAAAAGCACCAAGTGACTGGTCTTTGCACATCGACAAGCTCTATGAGTCAAGCCCCCACAGTCAGTACCCGCCAGCGATTCCACATCTGCGGCCATTGGGATGTTATCCCACAGCTGCCACTTGAGAAAGGCAACTAGGATAGGGTAGTGTTATGGCTTTTTCATCAAAACCTATAGACTGTATTTAGTAGTTGCAAATCTTGACCATTCTTGAACAATTTTGGGTACTGGTCTGATTCTTCGTTCCTGGCTGTCAAATGTGTACAATATATATATATATATATAATATTTATCCAAAATAGAGCGGATGGACAAACCACAGTAGAACTTTGCTTACAATTTGGGACACATTTATTGCATCAGTTGGCAACTGAAAAATCTGTGCTAATTCTCGACTTGGGATGTCTTGAAATTTCAACCTCAGTTCTTTCCAACGACGGAGGGATTGGGGGGAACCCTCACCTATGGATTTCTATGATGAAATCAACCTTGATGTAGCAGAACTTCTGGAGAATCTGGTGTATCCCATGTGTATCCCATACCCGTGACAGCGCAGATGTCAGAAATCTCGTTATTATGGGATCCGTCGGGCTGGGCTTTCAGGCTCCACCCCCAAAAAGGATCGGAAGATAGCAGCAGGCTTTAAAAAGCTGCTTGCTGGTGGAGTCAACTTCTGATGTTCGCCACAAAAGATTTCGCAAGAACTGGTGATGACAGAAGTTGCAGCCGGGAACCTGCGCTCGTCATTTGAAATTTGCCTAGTTGTTTTGCTTGAGCGGCATGTTTGAACACTGCATCATTCAAAGCTCAGCAAATACCAGTCCCATGAGATACCCCAGAAACCTATGAATTCAACAAGCTCTGCGCTTTCCCACCTGAGATGAACAAACCTATGGCCAGCTTACTCATCTGCTTCTCCACCAGCGCCACTGGGGTGCTTCAACCCCAGACTGGGTATCAGCCAATCGTGATTCCGACTGACCCGCAACATATATATGGTAATTTAATATGGTTGCAGAATTGGCAGAACTGATTCACAGAACTCAAATCTCTCAGAGCAAGTCTGCCTCTAGGCAAATGACCTTCGTGCGTCTCCAACTTGAAAGCAATCTGAATCCGGTGCTATTTTGCATAGTAGGTCAACATTCCCAGCTCCGCAGAGTTCCGCAACCGTCTCCAGGATATTCAAGGAGATTCCACAAAACTCCATGGCAGGATCAGTTTGGGTATTGCTGCCTGCTGCCATGGCTGAATAAACCAGTTTCGTTTAGACAAGTGCAGTGCCACCACTGCATTGATTCCATCACTGCAGTATTTTCGATGGAGATTTCAAATTCTACCATCCCTTTTGAGGGCATTGTTCAGGTTCTGTGGCGCAAGAGGCTGGGGCTTCGAACCCTAACAAGCTCATGCAGACCAATCTCAACACGTCTACTAGTACAGAGAAACCATCATCTACCGCCAGCAGGGTGTTCAAACTCGTTCCGAACCTATATTCCAAAACAGGCCACTGAAGAACAATGATACTCTTCCTTCTCAGCGGCAGCACTAGTCCTGGCAGCTCAACTCAACAGGGGCTGAGGGGCTGGGACAAGATATGTACGCTGTATGTAGGAGACTAGGAGACTAGGAGACTCTATGTAAGATATAGTTTACACACCCCACCCCCTTTGGGATGGTTCGGGGCTAGGTAGTATGTCACTAGCATGTGGCTACAATGCTCCACGCCCTATGGGATGGGTGGGTGTCATAGAGGTACCATGTAGATAGTTTGCACATATGTATAGCATATTAGATCTTGACAGTAGCTGGTATATGGCTACTATAAAGGTACTTTATGGGCAGTAATACCTTGTAAATGGATTGTATGGGCATATAGGCAGTAGCGAACACGGCATGGAGGTATCCTGTTAGGTAGTGTATAGGTGGCACGAGGCCAGGGCCACCGGCCGGGACCGTATATGGTCATGGATTGGCCAAAAATAGGCGATACCCGAATTTATGGCCATTCAGTATTTTCAACGGTAAACGTGTTGACTAAACCATGGAATTCATGGGGGTACGAGATGATATAACATCATAGAACGTGATATAACATGATACATACATGATATAACTTGAATAAGATGATATAATAAATATACGGTAACCGTAACTGTATAAGTGTATAAGCCCATGTTCAGACACCCACGTGGTAACAAACATAAGTCCACCGCCACCTGCGCCACTTTCAGGTGTCCGATCAAGCGCTTTGCCGCCATGGCCTGAAGGGCAAGGGCACATGGCCTGGAAAAGATGATGAGGGATCCTCCAAGAAAGGGATTTTTGGCAAATGATGTTTTCTGATTTTCCTTTGCAAATTGACCGTTTTACATATATTCCATTTTATAGTTCCGTGCAAAATTTCAGCGGGTTTGCTTGGGAGAGAATCTTGCCCTGATGCAGGCTGTTGTGGAAATGCAAGCAGTCGCTAGATTGAGCACTGAAAATCAATATTCTAGGGACTGTCCAGCATTTACCTGAACATATCCTGCAAAATATGGTCTGTAAGGGCTGAGAATGATGCATGGAAGACATAGACGTTGAATCCAGTATCGAGTACGGGCTGGTCTACATACACACGCAAACATACATACCATTACATACCACTACATACCCTCCTGTAAACTAACATAGATGTAGAACACCCACCGTTTGTAGATCATTTTGCGAGGGAAACTGGATTCCCACATCTATGTCTATTTACCCCTAGGGTAGCATCACATTACATTCCATTACATTCCGTTCCATTCCATACAGATAGACAAATAGCTAGATCGTAAATAGATAGGTGGACAGATACATATAGATCATATAGATCATATTAGATGGATAGAGATCTAGCAGCTAGCACCCCGGTCCCACCACCAACCCATCTCCTTGGCTTTCTGAGAATGACCCACAGAGGCAAACACAGAGGTGGCATCCTGGCGCCCAAAGTCATTGGACCCCCAAGTTGGGATGGAACAGCTACACAGTCAGGGTGCTTCATTTTGACAGTGGGGTGTTTGATGGTGTTTGGGGCTTGAATTCTTGCGGAGTCAAGTACCACTGAACATGTTCCCTCCAACCCGGACGTTGCTCCACATCTCAAGAGAATCATCATCATCATCATTCTGGTGCTTGATAGGGAATGGGGGAATGATCCAAAGGATCCAATCCATATCCTCAACTTATCTTCATAAGGGGATCAATATTTGCCACCCCCTCTGACTTATATGTTGATGATAATAATAATAATAATAACATGAACTTATCTTGTTGAGGGATCAAAATCCGCCACCCCCTCTGACTACTACGTTGATAGGGATCATAACATCAACTTATCTTCATAATGGGATCCAAATTTGCCACCCCGTCTGACTTACATGTTGATGATAATAAGAACATGAACTTATCTTGTTGAGGGATCAAAATCTGCCACCCCCTCTGACTACTACGTTGACAGGGATCATTACATCAACTTACCTTCCTAAGGGATCAAAAATTGGCACCCCCTCTCCCTCTGACTTATATGTGATGTAATATATGATATATGTGCTATGTACTATTATATGCTTCGGCCACTTCTGATTGCGACGCGGAGCAACGTAGGGGTTGCAGCGAACATGTGTTATCAGCTGTTATCATGTGTTACAGAAGTAAATCTTTCCATCAAATTCACTGGCTTGAGAGTCCTCCGCCGCTCAAATCCATCAGAGTAAACAACTCCAAATCCGCAAAACTCCAACTTCTGAGCCTCTGAGCCAACATGATATGCTCCAGTCTCTCCCATTGCCCAAGCCTTACCCGCCTTACCGGCATGCTGCAGGATGATCTGGCTCCCCCCCGGATGGATGCGGTGAAACTTGGTCACATCGTAGACGTCCCCGTTCAGGGCGATCCAAATCTCGGCGGATGGCTGTGAGATGAACCTCTTGGAAGCTTATCAACTAACTTTTTTGGGGACGCCAGCTGTAAAGATAGTATAATACAGTATAGTAATAGTATAATCATGGAAATGCCATCCATTTACATCCATTTACTAACGTAATGTACAATTTCTATCAATTTCCTTTGAATATTTGATGTTAGCAGCGTGGAACAACTGTGCCACGACGAAGGCAACACAGGGCCAAGAGACTCCGGGGTCATCCAGCGTCCGGTGTGCGGCCAACTCAGCCTGCGGATAGCTAGAACTCTCACTACATATATATATATATAAGTATATATTATATATGATATATATATAATTAATGTAATTAAGAATATATAAGATATTTTATCTATCATAGAATCATATTGTATCATATTATGTCATATGATGATATGTACCGAAGATTGAAGATATATCATGATATATCCATGCGCATACCGATTATGCATCATTATGTAAGGATATGTAAGGTATGTAAGGTACTAATGCGACGGGAAACCACATTGCATACACTTGACTGAAGTCGCGAAAAACAACATGGGAAACAAACTGAATGCAGTGACCGGATAGCCTTCACAGTCAAGGGATACAGAAAGGACCACCAATGGCTTCGTTGCCACAAGTTGCAACGTTTCCCCAAACATGGCTGGATATGGCTGGTTGGATGATATTTGTTTATATACACAAATGACCAAGTCAGCTTTGGGTTGCTTGAGGTTTCCTTCGAACATGCTCTTTGAAAGCTGCTGGCAGCAATTTGACGACTCATATTCTCCAGCTATACATTTCAAACGATGACAACCACATCTGGGATTGGCCCAAGATGAACAAAATGGGAGTTGGTTTCCACCTTGCTCCAACGGTGAGAGCCCACCTCAGTAATGCTGCGGACTGTGTGGAACTCTTCCACCTCCTGCAGTGAGGACCCGTCTCGCGCGAGGTCACTTGGATCCAGATCTTCAGCAACTAGGATGGTTACCAAGAAAACTTCCCATGATCATGGGAGCCATTGCAACACTCTTAACAAAAGAGGCAGTTTTCCAATTTTGCGACTCATTGAAAGGAAGAAATGGCCGAAGACGCTCCCTCTTGAACCATGTCCCGTACTCGAAGTTGTGTGCTTGTCAGAGCTTGTTGAACAGGCAAATTACCCACGACGTATTCACATAACAAAACTGAACAACCATTCCATTCTTTCGGGACACTGCCTTGCAGACTTTGCAAACTTCAAATTGCCTTGGAAGATCCCCTCGCCTCACAAGTCCCAAAAGTCCCCGTGCTCCTCCATATCTTTGGAGCAAGGAGCGTTGCTAGGCACTGCCAAGGGGCCTTCGCAACCTCGGCCATGCCATGGCAATATATTGGAGCACAATACAGTGGGTCTCTCTCGGGTCTCAAGTTCTGGGTGAGACCCATATGGATCAAAATCAGGAACCCAGCAAAATCCATTGAAACCTCTCCGTCCATGCTTCTGGTTTCTTTCAAAGGTTTGCAAGTTCCAAATATCTAGTCCCTTCCGAGAACAAATGATTGAACAAGTTCCTTAAGCCCATTTACAACGTTTTCCTGGAGGATGCCCAAATTTTTGGCGGCCGTGTTTCTGTATATGTCCACGTGTCTCACCTCCAAGGTTCGGTGCGACATTGTGTTGCAATCAAAATGAAGCATCCTAGTCAGAACAATGTACAACATTGTACAACCAGAGTACAACTCAAAGACACATTTGAAACCAGCAAACTTCAGTCCCAGGACGGGCATCAACGATGATTTGACACTGTCAACCAGTTTGCTGTTTTAATCCCAACTCTTGTTGTACATTGTACATATCATATATCCATGTTGGTCCAAGCTATCAGTAACATCTCAACTTTTGTTACTGAAACACCCATTGTAAATGTGTTGTTTTGCCGAAAGTAGGGTACTCCCAAATCCAATAGTTTATCCAAGTTTCATCATTACTTTCCCTACGAACATATATCACATATAATACAATGTATATATATATAATCAAATATATATATATGTATATGTAAATGTGTATGTGTATATGTATAAATGTATATATGTATATGTAAATGTATATATGTATAAATGTATATATGTATATGTATATATGTATACGCATATATATGTATATACGCATATATATGTATATATGTATATATGTATATATGTATATATGTATATATGTATATATGTATATATGTATATATGTATATATGTATATATATATGTATATGTATATATGTATATATGTATATATGTATATATGTATATATGTGTATATATGTCTTTATATGTAAATATGCATGTATGTCTATGTATGTATATGTGTATATATATGTGTATATGTGTATATGTGTATATATGTATATATGTATATATGTATATATGTGTAAATATGTGTAAATATGTCTATATATGTAAATTTGCATGTATGTCTATATATGTATATATGTATATATGTATATATGTATATATGTATATATGTATATATGTATATATGTATATATGTATATATGTATATATGTATATATGTATATATATGTGTGTGTAATTATAGGTGTAATTATATGTGTAATCATGTGTATATATGTATATATATGTAAATATGAATATATATATATGTAATTAAAGGTGTAATTATATGTGTAATCATGTGTATATTTGTATATATGTAAATATGTATATATATATGTATATATATGTATATATGTGTAATTATATGTGTAATTATATGTGTAGTTATATGTGTAATTATATGTGTAATTATATGTGTAATTATATGCGTAATTATATGTGTAATTATATGTGTAATTGTATGTATATATGTATATATGTATATATGTATGTCTGCATACATATCACCACATTTACATTAAACATCATTAAATTGCTTTGGTTGGGACCCAAATGTCCGCAAGCGTAGTCAGCTCATCCCTGAGCGACTAGCGCTCGATACGAATCACAATCTCATCCTTCTCTTCGCAGCGGCGGTATGCCAGGCCTGACGTGGCAGTGGTCCAAACGGTGTATGGTGTATCTACCATCGTCTACCACTAAATGGATCTAAAATCTAAATGGTCCTGATGTTCTTGGGGAATCATTCATTACTTAAGTATAATAGTATACTTAAGTAGTATCTGAAAATGATTGAACATGATGATAGATACACAGACACTCATAAAGCATATGGCGGGGAAACTACGCCTCGTTCAATAGCTCTCAAACTGCAAGGGCACCTCTGGCACCCTTTGTCTCCGTGCCCATGGTGTTAAAGTAGAAGTCCAACCTCGCCGGCATAGCATTGCTGCAGCCACTAGGTGGCCAGAGGCCGGGATTGCTGAGATAAAGAAACCGAAACCATGTGTTAGTCTCTGATGGCTGGACCCATGTCCTCTGTCTGCATTTGGGAGCCCAAACATTGACCTTGTCTATTGGCATGGAGCATCTCAGAGTGTTGCTGCTCAAAAAGAAGGATACTCTGCACATCTTTGGTGCACAAAAGAAAAAAGTATACAGTAGTCTGATTACAAACTGCGTGATTCATATACTGTGAGTCCATCTCCAGAATATTTAGTGATGGTGAAAGTTTAAGGCAACTGGTCGAACCCATGGACCCATACCAATCTGTTTGCCAAAGATGGCCGCCTCACCATACCAGCTAAGGTTCCCAACAGGACACCCAAAGCGGATCCATAGTTGGCCCGGTGCAAAGTATGATGATCTGCATGGAAGTTGTCCTTCCAGGATGAGAATTATGTGTTTTTTGTGGGCAAGACTTGTTGAAACCACCAATCGAATGAACGAAATGAATTCAAATGAGTGATCATTCCGAGCCTAGAAACGCCACATGTGGCCGGGTTTCAGAAATGCCGAGAAGTGGTTTCCAGGACAAATTTTGGCCTGCCAAGCCTTCCAATTTAAATCTCACCCGTGAGTCTTCATTGGCAATGCCATATCAAACAGAAACGTGGGTAACCTCAACATTAACTTGAAGATTTGGTGCTACTGGGGCAGCTGTTAATATCTGTTAATGACATCAAACTTGTAAACAAGTCGAAGTTTGAGTCCCGCCATGCGCTTCTTTCTTTCCCACTCTGCTGTTCGGCTGAATACTTTCTTCCTACACATAGTGGAACTCTCCCGTACTGCACCATGCTAATTAATAGACCTGACTAGTATCACAGAATTGGGTAGGAGTCCCTCGATGTTGCAACATTCTGAATCAACAATGATTCTTTTTGTCTCGTTACAAATACAATCTATAATTATAGAGAATCACCACGGCGAATGACATCAAAAAAACATGCCATGAAATATCATGAAATGATCAGCACCGCCATTTCAAGTCATGCTACCCCTGGACATCAGATTTCAAGCCAACACTGATCCATGAACCCTGGCCTCATCCATACAGTGGCCGCTGCCCTGGCTTTGGAATGCTACATGATGGCGACATCTCAAGCACATCCATCAATCCACCCATATATCCATCCGTCCGTCCCTCCGTCCGTTCGTCCGTCCATCAATCTGTGCAAGTCGCTCAATCTCAGCCATCGTCCATCTATGGTCTTTGTGCTCCTTATATATCTTATATTCCAATCTTGACTTACCTCATTTCATTCTTTCACCTTAGTGATGACCAGGCAGCATGAAAGTACATAGTACTGCTGTACTGCTTCAATGTCCCGGATGCACGTCATGGGGTCCAGGTTTGACACTTGCGGAACCTTCTCCAAATGAGGTTGCGTGCAAAAATTGGGATCATCTCCCCAGCAAAGAATTGTCTAGTTGATCAAGGAAAACCAATGGTTGGGCCCTCCCCCAGTTTTTGAACACCGAAATCAACCCCCAGTTTTTGAACACCGAAATCAACCCCCAGTTTTTGAACACCGAAATCAATATGTCACCAGTCGTACCTGGCCACTGACACCACATACACCCGGGTCCTCTTTGGTTCGCGTGTGTGCTGGCTTGTTGGTCAGTGACCTGACGTCAACTGATCTCTAAGGCTGGTTTGTGAACACAGACCGCTTCGCCACATACTGTATATGACCCAATAAAGATGGCAAATAGACAGACACGTTATAAAATGTTATAAATCTGTGCAAGGCACATATAGTACGCATTGGAATAGAAAGGCACATAAGTACGCATTGGAATAGAAATGCATAGAATAGGAGCTGCATAAAATAAATAAATATATCAAAACTACAACATACTGTTATCCATTTTTTCCCTCATTTAACCTCTGTTTAGTTCCGGGATTTTCCATGGATGTACCAGTGTACCGCACAATGCCATTCCCCTTACAACTGAGGTACGGGCGCGTGAATAGTGTCGAGGTTCAGGAAATAGGGAAAGAAAAGGCTGGGTGCCAAGAGGCCTACGGGTCGAACAGCTCGAAGGGCTGAAGAAAGGGATGGTAACTGAGATTTAATTAAGGTAACCGATGGAATTTAACCAAACAATGTTTATATATTCTAATGGGATATTTCATGGGATAGTTTATATAGGGGATGAGAGGGTATCTGATGGTAACTGATGGTAACTAATGATGGGTGGAAGACCACCCCACATCTGATTCCCTGAGCCACTGGCAAGGCAACGTTTCGGCCAAGATCCAAAAGAATTCCTGCCAAACATCCCAACAAAGCCTTAGGGCCTTGCTTTTCAAAGTAGGTGACTCGATCCAGGAAGAAAAGATAAGAAAAGCAACCCATCCTACCAATGTGTGATAGACAACTGACCAACTTGACACTGCTCATTGAGGATCTGCCTCGCAAGATGATTTCAACAAATTTCAACTAGACACCAACTGAGCATAGCGTTTTGCCATCTGTGGACTGTCCAGCCATCACCTGTTGTGCCCGCCTCGTTCATGCCACTGCCATAGATGTGGGCATCAAAGGCAGTGGTGTCGTGCAAATAGTGATGCCTATATCGGTCAGGACATGCCAGGACTAGTTTCAGATGTAGGGAACAACCTTCCCCAAGCTCATCTCAACATAGGCAAAAATCCTGATCACGCCGCAAATAATACAAGTAACACTTCTATATCATTTTTTGTTTGCTAAGGAATTCTTGTGGAAACTTCGTACACTTGGACGGATTGGCCGGGCATTTTTCTGAAGATTTCACTTGCTGCAGAAAAGCGAACGTCAGTCAGTTTCTTTTTGTGGTCATCTCTCCCTTTGTCAAACCCTGATTCGTTCGTGTGCCAAGGCGCATCTTGTGGGCGTGCTGGTACACAACTGGCCTGTGGACGGTTTGACTAGTTGGAAGGGCATGTTTCCAGCTTCTCCGGGTGTGATTCACTTTCCGATTCAAACTTATGACCCTGCAAGACGCAGGACTTGCAATGCCAGAAATCTGGGACCATTGTGCTCACATATGCTCACATAGAATCAGCATGTCACACGTCAGCCTTATTGGGTCCCTTGGAATGACAATGGGCTTCAACATTATTCAAGCAATATATTTCCACATATTTCAACATATTTCCACATTTCCACATATTTCCACAGCTCAACTTCAAGGACCGGGCAAGTGTCCAATGCGATGCTCCACGTAAAAGCAAATCACGAAGCAGGGCCTGGGATAATCATTATAGACATTACATATTGTATAAATAATCAATTTGCAGCATGCGCACACGTCTATTTACATATAGTATCTATAAGTATATTTATATATTTATAATGTATGTATGTATATATAATGTATATATATAATGTAATATCATGCAATATAAGGATATATTAGGTGATATCATGTGATATCAGCTGACATCTTGTGTATGACAGTGTATGATTGGAAAGGTATAGTACACATAATTATATATAATTTATCATGTGTCAACATCAATTTAAATCATCCAGGTTTCCCTTGTGCATCGGATCCCTGAGGCGCTTACCAGCGGCACAGGCGCAGGGTCTTCTGGTAGAGGCCATAGCGCTTGATGACCTCGGAACAGCATAGATTACCTGGGAAATGGGTATAGAACGGGTGTAGAATGGGTATAGAATGGTTATATAAGTTATATAATGTTGTATATATATATATATATATGATACTTATTCAACCCATTTAAATCCTATTAATGGATATCTATTACCGTAATAGATTGATATGGATGACCATCCCCGAATATGAGCACTCTACCCCCAAGTTTTGACAATGACACATGTGATACGGTTCAGAGTTCCTTCGGTAGGAAGTGCTGCACCCGAAAATGGCAGTACACCCTTCACTTCTGTTGTTTGTGAAACTGCATGCTCATTCCAAGAAGTCAGGGACTTGCTTTGGTGCTGGATGTCCAATCAACTGTTTTGCAGCGTCGACTTCTATATATTTCGGACCAATGAAACACCATGAACAACTAGAGAACACACATCTTGCTTGTCAGTGCGTGCGACAAGAACAAGAAAAGTAACAACACCAACAACACAACAAAGTCTACAAGACCAACACCAAGACTGCTTGGAGCTTAATTCGTGTAACAATCAACGATCATGGCGCACGTTCGGCCCTGCCACAGAATGACGCCTAAGATCGGCACAACTGTCAGAAGGCCGGTCAAGATCATCAGTCCCAGGTTGAAAGAATACCTCAGATCATCTCCCAGTCCAAGCCCCATTCTTTGCTACAAAATGTGGCTGATGACAAATGCTTATACATGCTTAGATAATCTTATATAATCTTATATAATATTCATTAATAATCATGCCCAAAGCTTCCAAAGACTATTGTTTAAATGGTCGTTGTGACAAAGGCTATTTCTTGGGGAAAGACGATTATTTGTATGATTTCCACTGCACCCTCAAGAGCACTCTTTTTTATCTTCCATTGTCGCGCTTCCACCGCTGTTTGACAGATTGGTTCAGCCTAGGATCACACAACATGTTGATCAATACATGGGTCCAAATTTGCAAGCATCCAGGAACACACAGGCACTCAAAAGACCCCCCAAAAAGTAAAAACATCATTTGAAGGATAGCTGAGTAGCCTTCCAATTTTCGCCTTCATACTGATCAATCTGAGTTTCATCATATACATCACCCATCGTGAACGGTGTAGAGGATGAGCTGCCTTGGAGATACCTAGGGTGAATAAGTTTCGGGCAAACACCCCGCACAAGCATCTAAGCACAACATAAGTAATTATTTCTGAAAAAAACAAACTGGGGGGCACTCATGGGCACTCATATCTTAAGATATGACTTAAGCCCCGAAAACTCAAAAGTTAGCAGTCCAATAGGGCAAAGGCTCGTTTAAGATGCTTCATTCCATCTTCATCACCAAAGCAGTGGTAAAAGCGGAAGTTCTTTCGTTGGTATTTGCAAGCCCGGGCAAGATGGATGACCAACTCAGCAAGTCAGCAGAAAATGCTGAGGACTGTTGGCGCTCTCAATTCAATCAAATTTCCAACCCCTAAACATCATACGTAAAACTAATGCGGCCCCAGCTGCGTGCACCTTTGGACGCAAGCGGAATTCGTCCACACCACGTCTGTGCAGCGCGTGAGTATAGGCATGAGGTGTGAACCTGTTGACCTATTATGGCAAAAAAATGCAACAAAACTATCCCAAATTGCCCCAGACCAACCTAGCCTGGTAGCATCCTTGGAGAGGGTGATATACCTTCTGCAGAACTTGTAGCCAGTATCATATAAAGTATCCCCTTGTTCTTGAGTGAGAACCCTCTTGCACCGTTCACTGAGCCCCAAGAAGCGCGCAGCATGCGTCCTGTCAGTGCAATCTTACAGCTCATGCATGCTTCAAAAAGAATCATAAGAATCGATCGAAACCCAGAGTGGGAGGTTGAAACAAAATATAACCCCAAAAAAACAAACAGAATCAAAACCACCTGCCCGGAAATTGTTCATAGCACAGGCACGCACATGAGGCCAAAAGAGCTGCTCTCCCGTCATCAGGTCGTTTTGATGCAAAGTCAGTCATGACATGGTTTATCCATTCTAGGATCACACGGCCATTGTGAGCCTTTGCCGTCCACATCACTTGGCCAGTTTTTTTCAAAACCTCAGGTACTAACACAGGTTGTGCCAAAAATTAGGGTGTTTCTCGTCACTATGGTTGTGTCTTAAATCCCCTTGAAATAAAGGCGAGTGGCATGATATGTTTTGAAAGGCGGCTGAGAGTTCTGAATCTTTTCCGACTTGCAAAATCTCTTGAAGGATTCGTAGGCCAAATCAAATTGACCTTGAAGATCTGGAGCATCACCAAAGTAGTTCGCAGAGCAAAGGGCCATCCTGATAAGGGCACGTCTAAAAAGTTGTGAAACCTTTGATGGGTCTTGTGAACATCCAGCAGCTATAGCAACTACACCAACCCTTTTGTAGAGCACTATTTCACATACGCGGCAAAGTATCATGCAACTACCGTTCACATCATACAACACCCCCAAGTTGATCGCGTGCATAGAGCAGGGCTGAAGAATTTCTGGATGGAAGCCATGAAGAAGAATATATGGGCCTCAGCTACTGAAGGATGACAGAAAGGAAGGGAAAGGTACCCAACTCGGTAAGAATATGTAAGAATGTAAACCACCCCTCTCAAGCCACACGTTGAAAACTTCAAATTGTTCAAGAAACATGGACCAGTAAGTGTCATTTGGTCCGCCAAAAATTCTGTCAAATTGTAGAACTTCCAACTTGGGCTCTCATCCAAGCAATAGTACAGCATGCCTGGGTCAGAAGATCGGCCATTCGCATTACACAAAAAGCATACTGCCTTCAGACTTTGCCATGTAGAGCGGAAACGCATGGCATTTTTATGCCATTGCCAATCGCCTTTCAATTCTGTAACACAAAAAACGCGTCCTCCACACAAACGCCTTGTTGGATCTTCAGGGTAATGTCCATGGAACAGGAGGTTGCAAGACCAAACCAGCCTTTGAAACACCAAGTGCAATGTAATATGACGATACATCTTGTGATCCTCCAGGGCAAACACACACCACCTTGAGCATCGCGAACTATGTGGTCTCCACACTGCAGGTAGGGAAATGTAAATGCCACACATCTTGGTACCATCATCATGGATTTTGGCAGAATCCCCATAAAGAGCAAATGGAACATGGTCGTCAGAAGCTGGGTGATTTGTTGCCCATGTTTCCTTCAGTTCATGTCGGTGCACACGCCAATAGGATCTAACCCGCTCATGAGGGACATCCATGCCGACCACAGTGAACAGCGCGTGCATTAACTTGTGAGGATCTAACATTTGAATCTTGCGCATGTCAAACCCCCGTGCAGCTTTAGGATTCTTGATTGGTACGGTGATCCAGCTGGGTTCCTAAGCTGATGCGTCAGTCAATGGACCATTAAACAATATGAAAAAGACATCCCCCATGCGTGAAAAAATAACCCCCATGCGCGCACACATGCATGTTAGCAAGTCAAAAAGAGATCGAGATGCACCCGAGCATCCAAATCAAACTTGGCAGCTCTGAAGAAATTCCGTGAAGAGTTTCTGCCATGTGCAAAGCTCCCCACACGGCGAGACAATGGATGGCAACATCCATGAGAGTCCTCACCAGTGCAAAGAGATCGATCGGTATATTTAAACAATAGTCCTTGGAAGCATTGGGTATATAGTCCAAATAGGGTCCTGGATATCTTAACTGGTCATATATTGTAAAATTCACTATTAACTGGTCTTGAGGCCCATGGTTTCAAAGCAAAAAAAACATCACAAATATCCAACAAAAGAAACGACTTGCGTGGCTGATGGTATATTTGATTAGTGGTGTTATTTTTTTAGGTGGCTAGCATCCGGTAATCAAACATGGCAATTATACAACTTGAATTGTGGTTTTAAGATCTTTGTACTTGGGGGGTTTGTCAATTGCAATGTTTGATTGCCGAATGGTAACGTAACATTCGCACACACACACATACTTCCCATGCCCGTGCTGCCATGGTGGACGGCAGCTCCTCCACATGGGCTCTGGCACTCTTCATTGCATTGGCAGCACTGGTAGCCTGGCTTGGCCACAGGGAGCGGGGTGTAATGCAAACCCTTGGAAAGATAATATTGGTTGGGAACATACGTGCCAAACCCACCGTTGGTTTTATAATAATATGTTTGGTTTACTAAACTCTTTCACCCTTTTTTGACACACGCATGCATGCACCAAGACCAAATGAGACCAAGAAACTCCACTTTGTAAATCATCCGCCAAATTTTCAAAGAAGGGCCCATAGTCATCACCACCTGGGCCTTCTGAAGAACCTGCGTGGCGGGCTGGGGAGAGAAAATACTATGATGTATCAAGTCATCAACGGCTGTTAAACTTTTCTCACTTCAGGCTCACGCAATGTCGAAAGTTTGTGGGCTACCGTCATAGCACCCCATGGGAATGAACCCCCACACTCCCAGTGCCAACTTGTGCCACCACAGGATGGTAACAAAGACATTTGGTTTCAAATCAAAAAGATTCAAACATTTTTTGGGGGTTGCACCTCGAAGATCCTATCATGCAATTCTCAAACCATGATGTGGTGGCTTCTGAGCTGGCACATATGCAGTGTGTTCCCAAAACAAAGCTACCTTGGACCACAGAGGGAACACTGCATGACCTGGGACTTTCTTGTAACTTGTATCACCGAAATTGGCCCAGCAGATCTTCCATGCTTCAACATTCACGATTCGAGAAAGGATAGAATGATTTCAAAATATTTCAAAATTGGGGGGCGTCCCCGAAGAACCCGCCAAGTGATGGAACACGATGATCAGTTTAAGCCAGTCTGATAGTTTGAGCAGTTCCAAGCTGAAGCAGCTAAGGAAGAGCTGAGCACCTACGTCGATTGCAATCATTTGCAACCACTGCCCCCCGACCGCATGGGAGGATAGGATCGGATATGCCCACCAAAAAGGGGAAACATTGCCCGCTCAATGGTCAGAACCGAACAGATTTCAGGAACTCCGCATAGGCATCCAAAGCATCCTGACCTTTCTTTCTCAACTTCTCTGTTTTGGTCTCCTGGTGGTAGAGGGTTGCAAAAGGGTACCGGTACCACCAAAAATGACAACAGGCATCAGGGTCTGGAGATACATGCTCATACTAGACTCAGGTATGACTGGCCTATCATATCGTGACATGATAGTGGGAATTTGTGATTATTACTTAGGAATTGTAGTCGCTCAATCAAATAAACTAACTTAGCTAGTGGTCCTCGAAATTGTCCAGGCTGGATTGTAATTTGTCACGGATGTTCTGCAGCTTCTCACGCTCAGTGCCAAGATTCTTCCCCAAAGCACTGGCGAGATCCGCAGACCTTTACAGCACCCCGAGCTGGGACAATTTAGGCAATTCATATCGATAAAGATATTTAGCATCCATGTTACCACTTCATGGAATCAACTAGATGGATTTGGGTTCTCAAAATGATATTAATCACTGGTGGATCCTACCCCGCAAAAATCAACCAAGGGGCAACTTGTTTTTTGCGCTCTTTTCCTTGTCCACTATGTCACGGATTCTGCCGGTGAGCTGCCCCAGCACCTGACGGAGAGTTGGTAAATGTTGGTAAGAATTATGAACACCCAAAATGGTTCCCAGAGTAAACCCTACCATACCCTACTGAATGCACTCACTGGCACCCCACCTTCCTGGCACCCCCCTGCTTCTCTCGCTCTTCCTTCTTCTCCTGTGCTCTCTTCTCTCGCTCATCCTTTTTCTTTTGTGCCTCGGCTTCTCTTGCTTCACGTTTCTTCTTCTCCGCCTCAGTTTCTTTCTTCGTATCTTTCTTGGCATTTTTGCCCTTCTTCTTTTCCTTACCTTTCTTGCCCTTCCCTTTGCCCGCCGACTTTTTGGTACCTGCGCTCTTTTTCTTTTGCTTGTTTGACTTTGACTTGGTCGGCTTTTCATTTTCAGACTCATGTTCATCATCGCTTTCACTCTCCTCGTCATCCTGGCAACTGAGGTGAACCAATGTGCCAATGTGATAAACTGCAACATCGCAATCCGGTTGGCTATGTGGTTTGGCATCTCGGAAATGATTAATGGACGGGCCATGCACCTGCACGTGCCTTATGTATACACCAATACTAGCTAGCTGTGTTTGAATGATATACTGTTCCTTAGTCCTGTTAAACTATCATCGTTCCAAAAAAGGTCGGTCGAATGCTGGTGGGATGGGCTGTGGGTCAGCAGGATTGGTGAACAGAAACTGCCTCCATGATAGGTAAGCCCCACCCAGTCCTCAGAACCGGAGCTGTCGGAACTCTCTGACTTGCCATGCTTCCCTCCATCAACTGTTTGATGGGAGTTGGACAGGATCGTGGAATCCAAATGTTCTTCACTTTCTTCGTCCCACACTAGGAAAAGCATGAGGTCCTGAGCAGTGGGCTGTGGTCCATAAGGTTGGATACAAAATTGCCCAGATTTGCCAGGTTTGTACCATCAATTTGATCAGTTTTGGAACCATCCCTTTTAAACTTTTGTAAGAACTAAATCAAACTAGAAACATCACGGCCAGGCAGGTCTGGGTGTGGCTTGCGTTGGTGCGCACAGTCGGGTACCATCTTGGCTTGTATGATCTCGTCTGCTATTGTGGGGTCATCGTACTTGGAAGCTATTTGCGCGCGTGTCATCCACCTTCGTGCTCCTTTGCGCACGTCAGTAGATGTTGTCTGCAGCGACAGCACCCAGGAGCTAGTCTTCCAGTTCTCATTACATGACAACCACTTCTCGTAGATCTCTTGCATGGCCGCTGCTCCTTATTTTGGGATAGACGGGCCAGCTTCCCCCAATCACAATGTCGGATAATGTCGGTATTTCTCAAAATGGTGTATGCTCGGAATATACCTAAAAGATCCTAAAAGGCTTTACTTGGGTGAGCATTTCCCATTTTGAGAATTACCCATGGTGCGTAACATAGTGAATTTAGAAGCTAGCCTGGGCCACTTGGTATGATAGGGTTGATGTTCAAGAGTAATAAATCAACCTACCACAACGGTGAAGTAGTATGATTCTGATGGCCGGGATATCACTTGGAACTTTCTACATATTTGTTTGTGATAAAATAAAACAAAAGTAAAAGCATGATCAACGATGTTGTTGTTGATTCGGGACTGCAGAGCCCAATCTGCATCCAAGGTATATATACCGACATCGACATGAACAGCCAAGATTCGATTGGAGCTGGACTTGGCATCTGCGATGGCCTTCTTCAGAGCTTCAGAAGCTTTTGGGCCTCAAGTGGGTATCGTTGGGAATCTCTGGGCGCCCATGATTGGCTGTGTGATCGATCAATACTACAATATGTTCAATTGACCCTGTATTGGATACATCAAATTGTAGTTTCAACTTGATGAATTGTCACAAGTTTTGTGGTTTGCGCGGGCTCTTGGTGCTACACCTTTGCGGCAACATGCATAGTATGTGTTTTCAAAATGACCCATCACGATCCACTAAAGTCAAGCAGGAATCAGTGAGCAAGCGTTTCTCAAAAAAAAACTAGTCAGATTGTTTTCGAAATTCCACCAATTTTGATTGTTCAAACCTCTGGGGTCCCCCACTTTCAAGCGACCTGTAAAACCTTCCTTTCCTGGCTTTGTAGATCTTGAGCTTCTCGTGCTTTTCTTTTTCTTTTCTTTTCTTCTCTTGGTCATCATCTTTCTGCCCTTCTTGCTGATCGGTGAGGTCTGCAGTGTTTGCACGCAAGATCTCCCCAACAGACTTTGGTGGTGTTGCCTCACTCTCACCTTTCTCGGTTTCATCCACCATCTTCTCCTCCGGCTGATCTTTCTGGCTCTCACCAGCTTCATCATTATTTTCAGTCGTCTTCTTTGCTGCCTTCTTTGCAGCCTTTGGCTCAGCATTATTCTTCTTCTTCGTTGGCTCCACCTTTGGCTCTTCATTTTTTTCCTTCGGTTGTGCAGCCCTCTTCTTTGGCTTCTTCGGCTCCACAGTCTCTGGCTCTTCATAATCTTCATCTCGTTCTGCAGCCTTCTTCTTTGGCTTCTTCGGCTCCACAGTCTTTGGCTTCTTCGGCTCCACAGTCTTTGGCTCTTCATAATCTTCATCTCCTCCTGCAGCATTCTTCTTTGGCTTCTTCTGCTCGACGGTCGTTGGCTCAACTTGTTGAGCAGCCTTCTTCTTCGGTTTCTTTGACTCCTCAGGGGCTGGCTCAGGATCTGCGCATTCCTTTGCTCTCTTCCTCGTTACTTTATTTTCCTCCACCTCTTCCGGCACTGTTGCATCCTGTTTTTTTGGGGCAGCCTTCTTTCTTTTCTGTTCCTCCGCTTTCTCATCAGCCTTCTTTCTTTTCTTTGGTCCTGCTTCTTTGGGAGTCGTTTCCTTTGGGCCGTTGCTCGAAGCTGAATACTTTCCAACTTCACCCTCTTCAGATTCATCATCAGGCTGTTCAGTGGCAGGCATGGTTGGTTGCTTCACCTTGTTCTTAGCCTTTGGTTCCTGATGCGTTTCCTTCGTGGTCTGATTGCCCTGTCCACCCTTGTCACATGCATTAGTTTTGCCTTTGTCTTCATACTCCAAAGTTGGCTCTTCAGCCTCCTGGTCTCCTTGCTCATCATGTTCAACCTGGTCCTCAAGTCCATTCTTGAAGTTGTGCATCATTTCTTTCCAATCTCGGTCGGTGTCTGAAGTGGAGGGTAGCCTGTGTGCTCGCTGGAGTTTGGCATTCTTGGTGTCCATTACCACGGCTGCCCTTTTTTCTTCAGGTCCCTTACTAGACCTCCTCACAAGTCTTGGCTCTCTGTTGTCCTCCTCAGGGCTGTCCTCGCCAGTTTCCCAGTCAGCACTCGTGATGTTGGACATCAGCTCATGGCAAGGTTCTTGAGGCCCATCTTTGCGGAACTTCTGGAGGTTTACACGTGTCTTGTTTGGCTGTGCTGTCTTCGGTTCTGAGTTCTTCTCTTGATCCTCTCCTGTAAAGCTCAGTTTCCTCTTTGGGGTAATCAGATCGTGGGCATCCACATGGAACCCAGCTTTTGAAGCCTTACGTGAAAGCTTTCCACCTGTGCACGACGGAGTTTGAATAGGGATTATAGGGATGATCAGGGATTAGTATTTGTTACTCAGTGGGTTCCCTTACCAAAGAATGATTTTTACTGAGTTAAATTATGATTCGAGATGATTCAACAATAGCTACAACAACAATGTTTCCAATCCATCGGGGTGGCCACAGGGGTGCAATGTTCTTGATGATGCAAATCAACATGTCATCTATATCATTAAAAAAATGCGTGCCACAATGTTTTTAAGTGACGTATGCCCTCATGTTGCCTGGTTTCGTCGAATCTGGGGGGCTTGCTTCCACAGTCCTGGCCAAAATTTGGCAGGTATATCTCAATTAGGAGAGCAATCACATAGCATCGATTTCGCAATGGACATCTCAAAGTAGGAGTGATCATGGGGATCCCAAACACTTCTTTTTTAGTTGAAAAAATAAAGTTTGGGGGAGCCTCATATGTTGATACATTATATTACATTCCCTTATTAAATTAATATAATATAATATTAAAATTATTATATAATTTAAACATTAATTTTATATTATATGGTTTGGGCATGTAAAAAAAAACAACCTGAGATGGCTAACTATATTTTGCCACATGCCCCATGTGAAGATGTGAATAGGGCTACCCATATGCTCCGCCCAACCGACCCCAATCCTGCAAGTATCAGGTTCAGTCACCTGACTATCTGTCGCTGGCGGCGTTGCAGAAACTCTCTGGCGACGCAGCTTGGCTGCTGCCAAGAAAGCGTCAGCCATGGTGCCAGTCAAAAGGTCAAGGACCAACAGATTTCATGGGTGTATTGTCTTAATATACAGGGCCAGAATATATGATTTCGAATTTGTTTAGTATAATATAATAATATAATAATTGTATCAGAATTTTGATGCAAAATAATGCCCTATATTTAGCATACCTGCGTCATCCCTGGTTGGCGCGGGCTGGGAAAGCAGCAGCGGAGGTCCACACAAGCCCATCAAGATGATTTTTGACTGTTTTTTTGGGGGTGAGGTTCTATGGCAAACAATAGTCGTTCTATGACAAACAATAGTCGTTCTACGGCAAACAATAGTCGTTCTACGGTTTGTCTACGGTTATTTTTTTTCTTAAAAAAACAAAAATCATCATCCACCCATTCTGGGTTTGCCATGATTTGTGGCCGAACCACTTCAAAAAAGTGGAATCACAACTACGCAACCAGCTCCATGACTGCCCCATCCATATTCTATGTTGTGTCCGTGATTTGTCCATGATTTGTCCATGATTTGTCCATGATTTGTCCATGATTTGTCCATGATTTGTCCATGATTTGTCCATGATTTGTCCATGATTTGTCCATGATTTGTCCATGATTTGTCCATGGTTTGTCCATGGTTTGTCCATGGTTTGTCCATGATTTGTCCATGATTTGTCTATGATTTGTCCATGATTTGTCCATGATTTGTCTATGATTTGTCCATGATTTGTTCATGATTTGTATATGATTTGTCCATGATTTGTCCATGATTTGTCTATGATTTGTCTATGATTTGTCCATGATTTGTCTATGATTTTAGGATTGTAATCGTTCACAATAGTTTTATGGGCATTCCCTGATGGCAAGGTTAGGTAGCCCCCATACTGGCATCCAGAAAAATCACCACCACTGAAGCTGTTTTCCCTTTTTCATTTCACTGACAATTCATCGCATAGCAGCATTGCTCGAATTGGGCCAAGCAATGCCACCCACCCCTTGGAGTGAATGGTGCTTCACCAAAGGCAAGTAATGAAAATTTAATTAGGCCCAACGCATTGAAAGACAACATCTGGGCAAATTTGAATCCTTTTTGTCAAGGCTGTTAGAGCCCCTCATTAATGATTGGTTTGTAGACTCCCCTGGCCACCTCGGCTTTCAAAAAGACCTTGATGCTTTCCAAGTCAGCGTGCTTCCAGCTGTATGGGGCTTTCAGAGCCACCTGGGCGGTTCAATTCAAAAACCAAGAAAATTGTTTGAATTTCAGTGGGTAGTTGATTCCTGGAAATCTTCAAGTGTAGATGGCATAGATGGGGAATGATTGGGACATGCTTTCCGAGAAAAGACGTTGATAAGATCTGATAAATAAAGATACCCCGGCCCCATCCCTGTGATTTTCTGATATAATTGATAATTACAGTAGATTATAGATTATATTCATGGTCATTTTTAAGTATCGATCCACTGACACCCACTGCTCTTGACTTTACTGAGGGCCCAAGCCGCATCATCCAAAACTGGAGTTTCAGCATGGGCAGAGTTGAGTTCCTCGGCAACCAGGGACGCTGAGTCCACAGAATGGCGCAGGAAGGAATACCCACATCATTCTAAATTGGCACCTAAAATAATTTCAGGAGTTTGGTTATAATTCTTGTTTCAATCCAATAAGTCTCCATACCTGCGATACCCTTGAACTGAGAACTGCATATTTTTGTGGAACAAACTGAAACTGTAACTGTTCCCAATGCCTAATATTGTAGAGGTCCGTTTCATCTGTTTGGGTGAATTAAAGAAAACAGAAATCCACGAGCTGAACCCCTTAAGCATCAAGCAAGGGTCATCTAGGAAACGCTGGTGATGACGGCATACAGACTGTCCGAATCGCTTTGGATAAGCAGCCGATTTCTTTAAGAAAGGGCCACCTGACCTGGGCAATATCCAAATATAACGACAATGTGTCAAAAAATACCAGGTCGTGCAAAAGGTTCGTTTACTATAACCATGCATAGCAAGTTTGGATAGCATGGGTCCCCTACACTGTCATTCGACCATTCTTCATAGCTTTCTTCACCATGGTAACCTCCTTGGAAGTCTTGGCAATGCGGCTCCTCATAGACTTTGTGATTCGGCGTCGAAGCTTTGCAGCAAATGGTCTCAGCCACAAACAAACAGTTGCTGATGTATGACATTGAGAGTTTCCCCTATCCAAACAAAATGCTGTCTCCCTAGCATTGCAATTTTCTGTTTGGTTTGGGATTTTTAGGGGTTCCCTTTTTCTCTGTTTCTCCTTTTACATCATTTTTGCATTGCCAAAATAAGAGGAAACTTATCACCCCGGCAAAACTTGAAACCATAAGTTTTTTTGATGCCATGGAAAAAATCAACTCACCAATCAAGATTGAGGACAAAACGCTGTTCCATAGAGGCGTGTTGGCTTCATTGTCATCGCACCATGAGCTCCCATGTACCTGATGTGTTGTCGCACCCCAATCCACGCAGTGACCCGTGGAAGAAATGAAAGATCTTATTTCATTTGGTGTTAGATCATGCAACCAGGGAACAGGAAAGTTTCCAGCCATTTCACTTTCATTTTCTTGAGAGCCCTAACGACAAACTTCAGGTAGGGGAAGAATTTCATCAATGAAGATTGAGGCTGCTCTGTCACTGTGAGGACTTGCCGCACAGCACAAAGTAACAGCAAAAGTGCCCAGCGGCATGTCAGCCTGAGCCCCGCTCAAACAAGCAAAAGACAACATGCACCACCTTAAATTGCAAAAAAGGTCAAAAAACTCAGATGATGCAAGTTTTGGTTTCCAGAAACACTAAATGCGTTCTAGAAGCTTATTTGCTGACCTTATGTACTCCCGTGCCACATCCCCTAATGGTCTGGATTGGCTCCGCTTGGAAGTTGCAACGTTTAGCCAAACAAAGCTGGAACAAGGCGGTCCACCAAATGCCAACGCATGTGGTTTTGCCTTTAGCACGTAGAGCACTGCCTGGCAAAGGCCACTCCTGGCAAAGGCGACCAGAAGACAAACTAGGCCATAGGATTCAGAATCTCAAACTCGATACAATATACTGATACAATAAACGTTTTTGGCGGTCATGCATCCCTCATGGTTTGAAATTGAAGTTTTTGTTTAGGGACTTTTTTCGTCAATGTTTGACAGCACTAGTTAGACACATTGTTTTACTTGACTACGCTGACATTCGCCAAGCTCCCCACACAGAGTTCAAGTCGTGCTTTTCTGGGTTTTTGGTGATCTCGAAGTATTTCCTTTGCGACAGTGATTGATGGGTATGAACAAAATCACATTCAATTTCAATCCCAATCAACTGCCAAGTCAGCTGTTCGGGCACTATCTGAGGTTGCAGCGCTTCCAGCCCAGCATCACCTTGTATCATGAAGGCCGGTTGGATTGGAAGGGAGGCTTCATAGATGGGTGAACATATTGACGCCCAATTCTAATTGATACAGTACTGACTTCATCATGGGCGTAATTTGTTAAGGGTTTTTGCTCTGGAGCAAGTTTGAAACCGATTCACGGGACGATAGGATGTATAGATGGCTGATTCTCCACTGAAGAAATCCAGGCTGTCAATGTCCTTGTACGCAGCATTTCAGTTTGTTCTTTGGAAAATGTGTGCCATCGTACTTTTGGAAAGGTTTCCACAATTTTCCAAACAGATGTAAAACATAATATTCTCGAAAAAAATGCGCTGCATTGCCCTGAGAACAAGACACGGCACCGGGTACTTTCTGGTGCAACTTGACATGTGTAGTCAATCAGGTGCAACCTCATTCAGCGATGGCACTAACTTACTCAGTGGGTTTTCTTGCGAAAACAAACTTAATAGAGCCCCCCCGGGCGAGCAAACCGAAATAAAAAATAATTGGACATTATTCCAATTCCATTTAATTTCACCCAGGAGCATGAGAATTGGAAAACCCAGAGCCAAAAGCAATTTGGATTGCTTCTGGGTCATTGCAATCGCACTTCGGTGCCATGGCGTCCCCGGCATTTTCCAGTAGGACCCAGAAAACGTAAAAGTCTATTGGGCACAGCTATTGCAGTCACCGTTCAAGCCAAATCTCGCCACTAAAAAAGAGGAAGTATGATGAATCAAGCATGTGATTATGAGTTGATATATATGGACATCAAATTTCAAAGATGAATCGATAGGCCGCTGCTGCTTTTTCCACCCCGGGAATCCACACTGGCTCTTGCACATTGAAGCAAGCACGCCCCAAGTTTGAAATATATTTTGACGCATCGAAATGATGATTTGTTTCGAAAATTTTCGACATCACGATGCCACCCAAGCCCCTGCACCATTTAGCAGCTTAGTGAAACCATTTCAATCAACATCTGATGCAGATCCCTCAGTCTCCCATGGTGCCTCCCCTGCAGGCTCCCAGCGTGCCATGATCTTCGCCAACGTCCACCTCATGCGTTCGCGGGTCTGGTCGGCAAAGAAAATTTGGTGGAAAGACGTGTGTGAATCTTTCTGGTTCATCAGCAACATAATTCTGATTTTGATGATTGGTGAGATTCTATATTAATACAACATGACCGGGCTGACATTTAAATCATTTTTGGGGGGTCACAAAATGGAATCGTGGCTGTGTTGACTGGGGGACCCTGACGATGTATCGGGCCCTGAATGAGTATTCCAGTAGATGGAACATCCAGGCGGATCCTTCTTGTTGAGCTTCAACTGCAACACATATGCAGTATGCACATGAACACACACACACACTGGTAGTTGTCACATCATTTCAATGCATGTTGTTTGATGACCAAATGCTCGAACGAAGGGATTCCATAAATCACATGCTCTGGCCTGACCCATCTCGACACCATGAAACTGCTCAATCTGTTTGATGGTCACTGGGGACGCCGAATACACGTAAAACCCTGCAGTGGTCAACCTCAGTCCACATAAAAGTTTGGAAAATTTGGAACCCCGCAGAACTTTGCAAGGGTTAATTGGGCTTACTCAAGTTGCAGTGCAGCTCTATTATGAATTTAATATGAATTTCTTAAACATCACAAAGTGACATCCATCTTAAAGGGTAGAATTCTATTCCATACTTTAGACCATTCCAACCCCCCATGTTTTACCCAATTTGATTGAGCTTGAATCTTGAAATTGGGGCCCCCGGCAGAACTCCGATAGATGATGGATCTTTGGAAACTTCCAGGGCGCTAACTGGGGCCTTCACAGTGAACGACCTTGCCAGGGCAACGATTGGCATTAAAAGACTAGACATAGATCAAAGAAGTTTTGATAGCATATTTGTGTGAATCAACGATGATAAGCAACTACTGACATGCTGAAATCGTTATGAGGTAAGCTGGCTTGGGGAACCAACAGTGCCAAACAGTCTCAACGATGCAATATTGAATGGGGTATCGGCCCACAGCTTTACCGACCAAATCTTCTGAGGTATTGACTTTTTCTGGAGTGGGAGCGGTGGCAACGCAGCGCGGAGGTGGCTGCATGTCTTTGCGACTTCCACCAGCTTCTGGTAGTTCGAAACCTGTGTGCACATGTGTGTGTGTGTGCTCACTTACTTGGGTTGCAACAATTTGGCTTGACTTGGAATCAAAATCAAATCTAATTTCCCAAGTTTGAAACAGGAACAGTTCAACCTTCAAGTAATTCAGATGACCATGCTGAGACCTGATGAACTTCTGGAAGTTGTGCAAACAAGTGACAAGAAGAAAGCAAGAGAACTGGAAACCCAACCCTCAACCCTGCCTCGACTGAGTCTTCTGCAACTTCTGGCTTTGGCAGCTTTGACCCCTTTGTTTTTTCTGCTGGTTTAGTACTTTCTTTAGTTTCTTTCTTTCTGGTGTCTTCCTTGCGCAACTTTGTTTCTCAGTTGGATTGTTTCGGTGTGGTTGCGCTGCCACCTGTGGCCATCTCAACATCTTCAGATTCTGCGCATTTGGCAGGAGTCTTCCCACGCCCAGCTTTCCCTTTGCCACGGCCCTTACCTTTCCCCCGACCTTTACCTTTCCCTCGGCCACGGCCCCGGCCACGAGAAGTTCCTTCATTTTTTTCAAGTTCATTGTCGCTTTCATCATCCTTCCAAGCCCGATCCTCATCTTCCTCACCCTGAGGTTGTTCTTCCCCACTGTCAGCCGCCTCAAGCTTTCTTTTCTTGGCTGCCCTTCTCATGGCTCTCTGTGCCTAGCGACTACTAGAACCACATGTGATATATGATTTCATTTTTCAGAAATTGAACAATTATACAACTTGGGGAGTGTCTCAATTTGAACAATGATTGGAAAAAGTGAAGCTCCATTCCTGGCCTTTACCACATCATCACTGATTCCTTCCTTTTCAAGCTGAGAACAAAGTAAGTCAGCCTGACCCTCCAACTGGGGATCTGCGGCTGGCAATGAAGCTGTCAGCGGCTTCTTGTCCTGGCATGGGTCGTGCGGTTTCATATTAATATTTCCTCGGCTCCAAATTGATGTATTGTTTTGCCTTCTTCCTCACCCCCTATTTCCCACCTGGTTTCCGGCTGCAGTCTCATGACCATCACTCTCCAGCTCCTCCTCGATGTCCTTCGGGCCATTCTCCTGCGTTGCATTTTTTTATGCATGCGTGCATGCATGATTTGTTCATGGTGGGATGCTGGAAAACGCATGGAAAGCGCTATTGGGGTTTCCATACACGTGCTTACCCCAAAATGGATGGTTTTTGATGGAAACTACCATTAAATGGATGATTTGGGCGTACCCCATTTTAGGAAACCTCCATATGGCTCCTACTAAACAGGGACTTCAAAAAGATTGGTGCTGTGTGTGTTTTACATTCACCAATCCTCATCATCATCGGATTCCGCTTCAATCGGGTAGTCGTGCATTGGAACTGATGTGTCTTCATCCGCCTCGTCCTCATTGGATGACAACAAATTGCATTTGTAGAATTTCAAGCAGTTTGAATACAAACAAAATTAAATGCCTTGATATGCAAACACGGTTCGTTCTAGAACTTCATTTTCACATTGAAGCTTGGGCACAGAATGTTGGTCTACCTCCAACTCAGTGACGCTGGAACTTGACCTTGATGACACCAAGCTTTCCTGTTTTGGAGGTGCAAGTGAATTGGAGTTGGGGAGCTTCATTGCGAATGATAATACTTTCTCAAGAAGTGGCTGCTTGGCATGCAAGTACTTCGGTATCGGTGGTATATCACTGCAATGGTATGACAGTATGAAAGTTAATTTTATTATGAAACCCAGCCTTCGATTTCGTGGCGTTCACACCACGATCAGGGATCTTGCGGCAACCATCATCCTGGAGCTTCCCCATCTCCTCACCAATTCCAGGGGAGTGGAATGGAAACATGGATTTGCGGGAACCTGGGACACCTAACCAAACAACAACGTCTAGAAGATATATTTCATATGTATGATGGGGATGACTGAAAGAATTTGCTGCTGTCCTTCAGTTGTTGCCTCACAATCTCTTTCAGCTGTTGCATTCGGACACATTTGCTTGACCTGTGCCAAATGATGGCATCAAATTCACATACCGTACTAGCTAGGGTCCATCCAAAACATGCAGATTCATAGTCAGTGTAGCACTTTTGGAAAAAATGAAGTGAACTATAATACACTTGGCTGGTATTCCCTGCCTGACACCCTTGTTTCGCTGGACCCTGTTCATCACGTAGCTTGCTAAGGCACGGTGCTGCACCCCCTCTGTGAGACTCCAAGCCTCTCGGTGTCAGAACCGGGATATTTGTGGATGCAAGGATGACCACCTATAAATATACTTGGATTTCATCACAACACATCAAAATTTAACAACATTAAAAGGTTGGAGTCCACCCACAGAAAGAATGGCCTCGTGTTGAAAGCGGTGCTTGAATGGATTGAGGCGATGCTTCTGGGATAGGTCGGCCAAAGCTTCCTGGCCCAACTTCTCATGATTCATTAATTATAAATTATGAAGCATGCATGGACTGAGTCTGAAGTTAACATATTTTTTGGGTTCACCAACAGTGGCAGTCCTCAACCTCTGTCTTTCGAGGAAGGGGCGGCGGTGTCCCCAGGAATGTAGCTAAGTAGCCAGCCACAAACTCGAAATTGGGGTCACTGGTGGCCTGCATGAGTATCGACAATGGTCGTGGTGATGGCAGTGCCGTATAATTTTGTGTTTTCAACAAGGGTTCAAAAAATTAGCCACCAAAATCACCTGACCATGCATGGCTTTATCATATTGTATCTGGATGTTAATTAATTGGGGTTTATCATGGAACGAACAAAAACACCATCCCACCTCGTCTTCACCGATCGATTTTGACATGATGTTCAGCATCGAGAACTTGCAAGCCTGAGTTGCATTGTTTATCATGGGTGATTGCGACTTCATGTCCATTATTTTTTCCATGGGTTGACCTTCATAGTTTCAGGATCATGCTATATGTGAAGATGTGTTCATATAAGAACTGGCCCAAGAAACTCTGGGATCTTTTGGTGAGAGCCCATGCAACTTCCGAAGGTCCTTGCATCTTGAGCGGATGTACTCAGGGGTCAAGATCTCGCTGTAGAATTCCTGGCAGGTTCAAAAAATATATCCTAACAACCTGATTTCCTTTAATGTTGAAACATCAAACTTACCAACATTATATAATTGATTGAATGTCCAAACATTAGCAAATCTAAACAACACTAGGGGCTGGGTAGAAGTTCCCCACCTTCAACAGTGCAATGACCTCTGGCCGGCACCGTTGCAAAATCACACCCCTTCCAGGTCGGGTGGCCATTGCTGCAGTTCAGGAAGGGCGCTGTAGCAAAATGTTCCCAAAAAAAGCCGCTTGGTGCTGACAGTGGATAACTAAAGGAGGAAAAATCTACCATATTTTTGCTTGGTTCCAATTGTATTTGATTCAATGCCAATAATTGTGTATCATCAGCACACTTACGCAGCAAAAAGCGGCTTCAGTCAAGTCAGTCTCACAAATAGGCTGCAGCATCCCAGGATCTATGCAACCATCAAAAACTATTTGCAACACTCTGAAAATGGGCAAAGGGGAGGTGGCACCTGGGCTCCAAATGTCCTTCTCGATGGTCGCTGCAGCCAAGCGTGGAAGCATGGCTTTGCTCCAACCATTGGGCAAGTAATAGTTTGAATCAGCACAAAAGCAAGAAAATGTGCATTCCTCAGGTGAGCCTTTGTGATGATTCTTCCAGCCCTCTATATTGTTTCAAACTTTCCAAAATGTTCAAGGCTGCTTTGGCAAATTCATCTTAAATGTTGATTGGATGATCCTGGAATTTCTTCAACATTATCCTTGAAATGTCTTGGCCGGGGCTCTCAGTCGGGTAAAATCTCCGGAAGGTTTGCCAGGCAAGATCCCTTAAGGACCAGCCTTGAGGCTCCCTGAAGCATCATATATGCATATACAAATAATAGTCGCTGATATGCAAATAATAGTCGATGCTGTAAGACTATTTAAAAAACGGTCGAGGAAGGCCAGGGCATGAATATACGTACTATCTTGTGCTCATACTATCATTGAATCATCATCCATCATCACTACTCTCCGTTACCACATTGATGACTACCCATGCAACTTGACATAGCCGTCGTAGCCAACTTCCCGGTGATGCTGCCAAAGCAGCCCGCACAGCGAACCAAACACCACCAAAAAGTAGGTCTTCGTGTTGAAGCTGCCGTAGACCTCCAAACCCCAACTCTGGTCCATTGAAACACGTGAAACATTGTGAAACCAACCCTGGATGCATCAAGTCCACAACGACAGCTTTGTGCCTAGAAAAAATATGAAAAAAGCTATGAGATGAACAAAAAGCTGAATTTCGGAGAGCCTCCATTACTATGAGTCATGATGGATCCGACAGGATCAAGTATTTTCAGTGCAGCATGCAATTCCCTGACTCCAGCGAAACAGCCGCCAATATGAGGTACCAGTTGAACCCATCAAGAGCCACAGATTCATCAAGTCTGCTGATTTTCATAGCCTTCCTACCTATGCCGTTATGTAAAACTCCATCTTTCCGGATGCATATTCAGCAGTCTTCAAGCATATTCAATCTATATCTAGCCTTGGCGAAAATTTGGATTCACTGAGTAGCAAACCACATGCAGCAGCAAGCGTTGGACGCCAAAAAGTTCAGAGCTCAAATAGTACCTGGATGACTGGACGCCGTCAGGCACCGTGGCCATGTGAGACTTGCATCTAGCCTTTTGCAAAGAGGGAGCATCAAACTGGGGATGGTTTCAGAGTCTAATCACAATTAATCACCTGTCTATTGCCGGCCTCGAATTTGTGGCTTCAACCCATACCACAGATATGCCATTGACACATGCTCATCCTCTCCAGGAGAGGTAAACCGGCTCGCTGAGCATCCGAACACCAGGCAGTTCAGGGCAAAGTCGATGGAAAAGAATGCAACCTTCATGAACAAAGGACATCAATGGACCAATGAACCTTTTCCAAACCACCAAATTGTTGGGAGTCAGATGCCACTGGCTTACCAGTGTCTCAGTGAACCTCTCGTAGATGCGTAAACATGCTGTTCTTCTTGTCTGAAGAATCCAAACGCTGGGCGAACAATCAATGGTTCTATGGCAGCCATTTGTGTCTAGCTTCCAAAGCTTAGGCATGACACATCTCAAAACAAAGATCTGTGAAATCATCATGAGGAAACGACAAAACCTTGAACACCTCCTCGACATATCTGTGTCATTTGTGCAAATGAGTTGAGTGAACAGTGGTCGGCTATCTTGCCTACACTTGAACCTGGAGGACACAAAGTCTGCTGATAGTAAAGGTTGAAAGTGAGGACCCTTGCTGCGAATCGTCTTGGGTATATTTGCATATTTAGGATTTCTCTGTCAGACCCATGATGAAACTTGCTTCCACTACAGTCACAATCCTCAGACAACAGGAAGAAAGTGCACGCACCCGTACATCTGATGACGAACTGGAATATATCAATCAACTTTGCTGACCCTAAAGTTGGATGATTTAAGACTAGAGATATGTGATATGTGCACATTGAATGTATCATATAGTATGATATAATATTACTGTATATACATGTTGACATTGACCTTCATGTATCACCCCATCCATGGAGGCTCTCTTCATTGATTCTGACCCATCCCCACTTGCTGAACCCTTCCAAGGCACCACAAAAGTGATGTCAATGGTCAGCGTTGGAAGCCTTGACAAATCCCAAGGAAGATCGGTCGCATTCGATTGATCTTGCCTGATATTCTCTTGGCAAAAGGCCAAGCATCGGCTTTGGACAATACCAGTAGAATATTGTATAATATCATATAGCATAACAATAATATGTATATATATATGTATCGACTTGTTTGCTGTACGAAGTACTGAGGCTAGCCCTCGAGACACATCCGGTGTTCCCAGGTTCCATCCCTTTCAGATTTTCTCCTGGCATCCCAGCCAGGACAAGGCACCCGTGGTGTACAGCAGCGCCTTGCTGGTCAGGAGCTGCTTAGGGAAGGGGGCAGCAAGTCAGCAAGTGGCTTCGCTTTCCTGGTATATTTCCGGTCTAGGTGGTTTGTTCATGTTTGTTGTATATACAAAAACAGTGCCATGGTCATTCAACATTTCTAAAGTTGGGAATGGTGACAGTTCGAGTTTTGACCATGACACAGTCGTTTGCTGCCCTTGTAGGAATCATCTCATGTCACCTCGTGTATGAGCACCGGCAGCAGGGCGTTAATCCCCCAAAAAGCTGCTACTACTACTACTACTACTGCAAGTCGGCCCCCAAATCAAACTGCTATGGGCCCCTGCGACAAACATTGGCTTAAAGTTTAGACACGTTCAATTCAAATACTGTAAGACTGACATAGGCTAACTAGCAGTGATCAGAAGTGTAGGTGGGGAGGGAAGGACATCTTTTCCCACAAGAAATAGCCAAAGCATCTCTGCCCGGTGAAGGCTACATGCTGCCATGTCGCCGCCACGCACAGACTACACATATAGTGCAGCAGGCCTAAGGCAATGGGTTGAAAACACCCCAGTGCCAAGCGGTGTCAAAATCCAAGTGGGTTTTTCTCACCACCTTTTTGTACTGCCCAGTCATAGCGTTACACTGCACTGGAAAAGGATGTTGCATTTTGGGTATGGAAATAGTTCTGGCGTGACTCTTACTGGGATGATGATCAATCTTGCCTACCATTTCAATCACCAAGCAAGCAGGATGTCTGAGGTACTGAATGCAACAAAATGGGTCTTGCTTTCAGAAGACAGCATCAACTTGGGGCTGTTGGGTTCAATGATTCATAAACAAAACGAGGCTACACAGAAGACACGTGACTGATGGCTTGAACTACATCAATATGATATGAACATAGCGGATAAACCCGCAATTTCGATTGATTGATACTACGCAATCAATGTTTTGACCCATGTGCATGCCAGAACATCTCCCTATTCACCCTTCCAAAAACCTGTGGTCATTGAAAACGCTGAGACCCAGACAATCCGACCCCTGAGGCTGCATCGTGGCAACACAGATCTGGTGAACCATTATTAGACCATATTAGAATCATTGGGTGTAGATCAAGGTCATAAGTCACAATGCATCAAAGTGCCAGGAATCAACCAGTTCAGTGCACACTGGGGAGGACTGTTCAGGGTTTTTTCGACTGTGATAATGTGTTCATAATGCATACAATGTCAAGACCAGACCATTGGAAACAACTAAATCTCGAAATGCTTCGCGTCTTCGTAGCCACATTTCGATTCGAGAGTGCGGTTGAGCCAATTCGGAAGCTGGGTATCCTCACATTCGTCAGCAAGCGAATAAAGGAGCCTGTCGCCAATCCATAGCTTTCCGAAAGGGCTGCAGTAACCAAGCTGATTACGTAACAAAGCCATTATCCATGCATCACTCTGGATATTCTTGCATTGGCCGTGCATGCCGAAAAACGGTGGCTGGAAACACTGCACACATAGCTAAACATTATCAGCCAAATTGTCAATTTGCCGCTGTCTTTCATCGCGATGGTTTTGCAGCAGACAATCTATTCAATTTTAATCATTTTTGGTTAGCCAACGGGTGACATCTTGTCTGGCGAACCCGGCTAATAACCCTTGATTTGAGTAGTCAACTGTAAAATGCGTTCGAAGAACACACTGACTCAACCAGTCGTCAGTCGTCGGAAATCAACTCAATTATAGACGCTTATTATATTAATGATTATTATATATATATATATTATATCATATCATATCATATTATATATATATATGTACACACGTATATTTCTATCTGTAGAATCACACCTCATGGCTCAGCACTTGAGAACAACCATTGCAATAGAACAAATTGATAAATCGTCGCATGCAAATCACGAAGCACGCAGGCACACACACACACACACCACACCCGGACTGGCAAACATCCATGGTCATACAATTCTAAGCAGCCACACAGACAACTGGGTCATGATATGTCATGATATGTTTGTAATTGTTTGTATATATAGACATGCCTGAAGTCCTCTTGATCCAACGAATCAAGCATGGCACATGGTACCCAGGGTACCTGTGAAAGATAGTGGTGCGACCAGGAACTGCAAAGGTCCAACCTGAGCTAATCGCCACCCAGGCAGGATTCGGATGACCAAGGTTGACATGAGCTGGACATGTCCCGTTTTTTCTGACCAAGCCAACGCCATCCTGGAATCCACAGGATACAAGGCTGTGAGAAAATACTAAGATTGAAGGTCTCAGATGTCTCAGAGTTTTGGCCACTGAAATCCACCAAAATTGCCCTATCCCACGAAGTCCTAGATCTGTTGACTTTCACCTGGGTTTTCACACCAACAAACCCCAGCTGCCATAGGCCAAGCAAACCACACACTGCAAGGCCTTGGAAGCGCAAAGGCGGCCAAAATGTTCGGGACATGCACGGATATACTTTCGCTCTATGGATCCTCACGATATTTGTGTGGATAAAAATGATGCAACATGATGCAACGCAAGTTTAGATATTTTTTAATGAGATGCGTCTGTCCGTGTATGCCAAGGCATCTTGAAACCTACGTCCATCCTGTCCAAAAAGCTCCATGCTCCCTTACCCTTAAAAGCCCATTTCAGGAGATTGCGTGGGACGCGTAGGGGTGGATTCATCGCAACTTGTTATGTCCACTGCGGCTGGCTGGCGCAGTTCAAGATTGCTACGCGCTGCACATCACTGCACCTTTTTGGAACAGGTAGAACTCATGATACATGTCGTTGCTCTTGACTTCATGGGGGGGTCCAGGCTGCCTTGCGGCCCTGCCTAAAAGGATCCACAAAGACTACTTACCAGTGAGCATCTTCCAAGCAGAGAAATACGATGAAATTAGTATAATTAGTTGACACCACTGATCACTGATCTCAAATAGTTCGTCTCTTGATCCCGAGCATGCGCATGCAAAATAGAATAAATAGACAAATATGAATACTACAGGCACCTTGTCGCGCACAAGATGTTTGCCTTTCGCTGGCATGGACATGCACGGACGATGTTTCAATATTCCTTGAAGATTTCATGGATGCTACAATTTTCTGCCGCCTAATCATTTATCTAACCCACAAATTCTCCACAAATACGCCCCAGGAAATCTCCCCATCATATCCCATTGTGCCATGTGACACGCACCAAAAAGCTGGATGCCAAAATGCGGGTGAAGTCTGGCTCCTCAGTCTCCTTCATGGATGGATGTTGGATGAATCAGGGCGGAAATGACATGATATGAATAGAAATGAATAGAATATGAATAAAATGCATGACATGCTGGTAATCTTTGCCAGGATTTTCGAATTGCAAAATCAGGCAAACTGGACGGATTTCAGTCGAATTGGGAAATGACAACAAATGGTCGCTATGTTGCCAATTTGTTTTTGATGATAATTCTTTTAGTTCATGCATGCTTCAATTTTAAGACGTTCTAAGTAGTCCGCATGGACAATAAATTTAAACAAAATTTCATGCTCTGTATTGTGGGCTTAGGGCACAAATCGCCATCACCAACCGCGCACCTACTTCAACAGCATTGCATGTCCCAATGAGTCGAACCAAATCTGAAATCCACTGATCTCAAACGTGGCATCAACTCCCAGAAATTCACAAACACCCAACCATCAACCTATCAACCCATCAACCCTAGCAGCCCAGTTGGCAGCTGTCGGCCCCAACCCCAACCCCAGCCTTCAAAATACTGCGCGTGACCTCTGAGAAGTTCCGGTTGAAACGTTCCGCGAAGTGCTTCGGCAACCGCAGCCTGGGCATGGCTGGGGCAAAGAAATGATTGACAAAAACATGTCCATACCCACAAAGAAGCATTCGGAAACTGAAAAATAAGATCCAATCGATGATGTTACCTGTTCAAAATTCATCTCAGTATAGCACAGTGATGTATAGTGTTTCCAGAGAGAATCCCCAGAAATGGCACTCCGAACTCTTGGGCGATTCCTTTGTTCCTCAGAACCCAGAAATCTCCACTCAACGGCCATGCCAAGCTACTCCAGTGAAGCTGAAGTGCCCACCTGCCAGGGCCATGAGAAGCGGACAGGCAACTCGACTCGGAAATCATCAATATATACTGCAATACAGTATATATATATTATATATATATATAGATTATATATATATAGATTATATATATAGATTATATATATATAGATTATATATATATTATATATATACAGTATATATATAGAGATTATATAGTCACACTATGTTACGTGTTGTAAGATGTGGTAAGTAAATGGGCAAACGCTTGGCTACGCCAACAGCCCGTATCGTTCGATAATGATATCTGAGCACGGTAGGGCATATGAATATACTATACATATAAATATGCTATACATATAAATATACTATACATATAAATATACTATACATATAAATATCTTATTGTAATGTATTGTAATGTATTGTATTGTCTTTGTATTATACTGTTATATATTATATCATATCATAGTATATTATATCATATTATCTCATATTTACTAGTATATATTGTTAATATGATATTACATTGTATTCTTATATTAGTTATATAAATATATCATATTAGTTATTATATATTATATCAGTTACACATTATATTATAACACAATATTTTATTAATTATATCATATCATAGCATAAAATGTAATACTATCATATCATACCATATCATACCATATATTGTGTATATATATATATATATCATATTCCCACAATTTACTAGACTATTTATCCCTTGATCATTGATGATAGGTCGGTATTGCATGCTCTAATTGGTTACATCAGCCTGTGCAGCAATGTCATTCATCAGCTTGCCGCTGGGAAGGTCCTTATGCACCTTGCAACGGCGGGTGTTGCCAGATTTGCCAGGTCCCTATGGATTGACCGGCTGGTGGTGGTTTCTCAGTCCCATGAGTGTTGGTCAATATTACTGACATGACCATGTTTGTTCGCTACAAATCCCAAAACTTGTTGGTCAATATGTTCCCAAAACTGTTCTGGACTCCCACAACTCAACAAAATGCATCCGATCCGCTGTTTTCCTGATTCACCAAGTGGAAAGTGAGGAGAGTTAAGTACAGTCGCAGGTCTGGAGAAAAATCAAGAAATGAATCCTTACAGTATATAACTAATTGAAAGCTGCTGGCAACTCTCTGATCTTCTCTAAACAAAGAGGTCCGGTGCGTTCCAAAGCAAATCAGTTTTGTATCTTGGCGTTCCCAGTCTTGACTCAATACCATTGATTTTAGCACATGGGAGGTTGTGCCAACACCAGAAAAGGCCCGGGCTCACCTCCGAAAATCCAAAGACCACAGAAAAGTAGAGACCTTTTGGAGTGCGCTGTTCAGTTGGGTGAGCTATCAAGTTATCAAGGTGGGCAATGACATGGTATCACTGGCGCTTGATATGATTGGAGGTCCTCTATCGTGCCATGAAGTGCCATGTATCATCATGTATCCAGCCCAGCAAGTACTGCAATTTTATCTACACTGAGCATCTCACGGATGATCTTACGCCACAGGGGCAGCACTTGCCGCAAGGACATGGGAAACGTTGCCTGGAAACTTGGAACAACGAGGACAGGACTAAAAAGCAGGACAACATTGATCTTAGATAACTTTGCCCCAGATAGGAGAGGTACAGTATTAGCCCCTTCTTTCTTGGCATTCTTGTGCAATCAATTGCCATCAGACAAACAAGGCGGCAGAATCGGCCAGGGATTGGCACCAATGTATACCTTTTAGGGGGATTGGTGGATGGGGACAAGAACTTGCGACTGATGAAGGTCATTGAAGTTGAGTCTTGCCAGGCACGTTTGCCAGCCTTGGTTTCATGAAAATTCTTGATCCAGACCCCTACACTACCTGAAACATCCTGAAAGGTCATCTACGGGAACCCCAGAAAGAGCAGGAACTTCATCTTAAATCCGTTCCAAAACGATGTTGGTACATTGAGACCAAGTGCCTAGGGCCTAGGACGGGAGACTCACAAGATTTGAAACTACCAGTCCAGCTACAGTAACCAGTCCTTCGTTATTTTGAATCGACTGCATCTTAGACATTGCTGTTGGATTTTGCCTTTATTGGATTTCCACCTGTATCTCTTTATTGTTGCTCAAGCTTGCTCCGTGAAATTCCATTGTTGCCTGTCTTGAACCCACCCATCACATCATAGGCGCCTGCATTGCAGTGCGCCAAGAGCCAAACACGCGAGACACACGGCTGTCTTTAGTTTCAGCGATTGCAGGATAGCCAGCTGCATGATCTGTACCGAAAGGCATCAACATAGCATATTACTGGCATGCACATGTTATACGTGGAGACAACATGAGACCTGGATACCGGTCAACATACACATATATATGAAGGTTCCCAAAAGATCAGGTCAAGGGCCAAGCTGCACTGGTGTATTTTCCCTGGCTGACATACTTGAGATCTTGTCAAATTCACTATTTTTTCTGACCTCTCTCGCTCATGTCTTGTTCTTTCCATCTGCTCATGGAGCCAAATGGCTTCAGGTGTCGCATCTTTGTGCGTCGTGGGCTCACCCCATTCAGAAGAAAGGAGATCATCACCATAGCAGATCATACCGGCTTCCCTGGCAATGGGATACAAAAACGAGTCTGGAACCATTAACATCCACACAAGGCCAATTCCGGGCTACAAGCCGTTTTGTTCTCTAGTTCCCAGTGTCATAAGCTCCACTTGTAAGTACCGCAAGTATATAGATTTGGATCTGGCCTGAGGGATTTATGTGTCACCCTGGTGCTATTCCCTGCACCTCAGTGCCCGCAGGGAGGATGACACACTCAGGACGAACTCGGTAATCCCCTGAGCAGCCGCTTAGTGCCTCTCCTGAAATAAGTCCCCTTGAATCAAGCGCAGAGAGACAGCCTACATCAAACTGCATAATTTATGCATAAATAAGAAATTGTCATTAAATCATTCTAGAAAATCAGCGGAAAGTCCGAACACGGTTCTCTCGCTGGGAGGGTGGGTCTAGCGGTTGCGGCAAGCCACTCACAACAGGGCTGACAAAAAATCATTGGCTTGCAAAAGGGACGAACGAATAGCCTTGGAAGCCAAATTCAGGTAAATTGATGTGAATTGTACAAATTGTGCATTCAAAGTGGTGTCTGGCTAGCGGCTAGCCTCCAGAGAGAAAGACAACAATGCCATACAATGCAACCCATGGACATACTGTTGTTTCTCAGCCAAATGATGAGATTTCCCTCTGCTCACCAAGAGAGCCGAGTTTTGGATTGTAGTGAAGTTTCAAAAATCAGTGGCCATTTCTTGACTGCAAACAAGGTACGTGGTGTGGCACCAGGCACCAAGCCTGCGCATTCCAAGGAAAAGGGGACGCCATTGAAATCTAAGATCCAACACTTCAGTAACCATGTGGAACTGCGACAAATCCCAAACTTGGAGCTGGACATTGAAAATACATATGCATCGGCATGCTACATATATGTATGCTGGATGTTGCATGCTTTTACCTTTCCGTTTCAGAAAAACGAGCTCTTAACATTCAGAGTTTCTCCCTAACTTATTCGCAAACAAGCCGGCCACAAACCAGAAATTGCAAATGATAGTATACTTTGAACTGATTTTCTTTTGGATTGAAATGAACGATCGGTGGACCTCCAGGCTTTGGCCATAGCCATAGTTACCATAGTTTTACTTTTCAGGGTTCAACGACACCATCCGTTTTGCAGTAGGATTGTACATTCTTCCAAGGGTCACCACCATCCCAAGCACGCCATCGCGATCACCGCCACATACGTTGCAGGAGGATCGGCTTTGCTTATTGACCTGTAATGAGCATCGTATGAGCGTAGTTTGCCAGGAAAATGAACGAACCTACAGTGCTCCAAGCATGACATAACATATCATAACATGGCCATGCTTGCTGGTACCCGGTACCACCGGTTAGAGCCATAGCCAGTTGCGGGCTATGGCAAAACCCACCCCAATCAACGGCAAATATTGAGAAAGGGGCAATACGAGCAATACGAGCAAACAGACTTTGAAATCAATTCCCCCTGCTGATAGTCTGATATTCTGAGGAAGCTGGACCGATGGAAGAAAGGTTCAGAAAGAAATCATAGAACTTGAAGGACAAATCTCTGAGCCATTGAGAGCAAGCACACCACTACTTGCGTTCCTCCCGCCTCGCCACACTTTGGGCAAGTGCAATAATTTGGAGGCACCTTTGCGCCGCTTGGTTGATGGGGAGATTCGGCATGGGAAATCCACAGAAAAGGAGAACCAAACTAAGCACATGTAAATTGGAAAGGATTGCTTGTATGATCTTATATGTATTGATTGTGGAATTCTGCTGGTGAATGTGCCAGTGCCATCACCATCCGCCACATCTCGTCAAGATGTGCCTCTTTATCAATCACAAGCCCATGGTGCAGGATAAATCTGGGAGAGCCAAAGATATATTCTGAAATCATGGAGACAAAGAAATTTCTGTATCAGCAATTCAATTCCTATTTGATGAATCAATTTTAGTCATATTTTAGTCATATTTACACATATTTACATATTATGGGGACAACATCATGGTCGTTTCAGTCCCTGTCTTCCTGTCTCCACGGTGCCCAGGTGGCCCAGGTGGCCCAGGTGGCCCAGGTGGCCCAGGTGGCCCAGGTGGCCCAGGTGGCCGCACGGAACGCAGTTGGTACCTCCCCATCTCCCCAAAGTTGGCCAATCTTTGCCCTATATACAGCTAGAAAAGGCTGAAAAGGCGGAAGAAATCACTATATTTTGATTTTCAAATGGATTCAAATGGCACATTGTGAATGCAACCTTGAGACATGCCCCTCAAGACAACCTGAGGCCAGTGAACTTGAAGATTCATGCTTGGCAGCAAATGGAACCATAAACCAACAAGGAACTGGAACTGCGCACAGACCGGACGCTTCATCCCATGCCACGACCTGCTGAAGCGAGTGAGATGTGACTGGTCTAGTCGGTGTAGTGCCTCTTTAAAATCAAACAACCTATATCACTGTACGGACTATAGGTAGTAATATATAGTCCAACAACATTCCAAGATATCCCAGTAACATTTTTGCCAGTAATCCAATTACTCCAATGATCTTCACAACAATCCCGGATTTCAAGATGGCACCATGGCACCTCAAAAAGGGCACCATCCAAGTCGATGGTATCTCCCATCAGCTCCACACCTTGGCAAAGTCCCCTACGGTGACTATGGCCAACTCCAAAGTCACTCCCAATTCATTGCGTGGTTCCTACCAACAACTGTTTGGTGGTTTCATTTCATCATATTTCATCTAAATTTCAATTTGAGTCAGGTTCGTCTTCCCAAAGCGTGGGTTGGATTTCCGAATCTGAAGCCGCCAGGTGAAAACCAGGCTTACCAGCGCGAACCAGGAGATAGCTGAGGCAAGCGTTCTGGCAGGGCCTTAAACGCCATGGCGATAGCCATGGATGGACCATGGCGCGATCCCTGGTTGGGGAAAAACCTCGTTGCGGATGACGATTTCCTAACGATTTCCTATGGTGTGCCTGAAAATCAGGTTTTTTACATGGTATAACCTCCCAAATGGCCATTTTGAAAGCGAACATGATGGTCAAACTGGTCAAACATCATATTTGGTGTAATTACGTTTCAGACAAACCCATATTTACTGCGATGTTTTATTCTGGATAGTCACCGGACACCTGTTTGTAGCTGATAGCTTCTCTGGTGGTTTCAACCCAGCCATGAGTTGTTCTCCGAAGTATTCGGTGATCACACCGCAAGGACTGACTAGAATGCCTCCCACAGTGGAAGGGTGTGGGTCCGTGTGCTGATCCATATCAGAACTAAACATCACTCTGGATCAACATGGATCAACATGGGACCTTCAAACTCATTAAAATGCAGTAGGTTCAATATCTCCCATTTGATCCATATGTTGGATCCAATGATTGCCCTCAATTCATTCAATTCATGGTGGATCATATCCACGTCCCCCACGGTAGTTTAACATAGCTATCAACAGCCCATTTATAGATGATTTTACCTCTTAAACATTCTGATTTTCCATAGCTATGTTAAATAACCAGAGGGTATGATCCAATGTTTAATAGGTAGTAAATGAATTCATAGGTATTTCATAGGTAATGTCAAATCCAATAACCATTGTTTTTTTTTTCCAGATCCCCCGGGGATATTCCCAGGCATCGCCCTCGCCATCATTGGCCGCCCGGCGCGTGCAATGCGCCGCCGTGGCACGGGCACTTCTGCAGGGGCGGGAACCTGGTGCACCGGGTAGGTCAAATGCCTATTCATATGTAATATACCTTCATATGTTAATGAGTAAATATACATATATAATCACACATGCTACATATATGTATATATATATTGGTATTACTGATTATTAATGTATAAATGTGTATATATATATACATACATAATTTATATAAACATACAATAGAATGTGGGTTGACAAAGGAGATGGTTACAGATGTTACAGGATATCAACCAAACAACATGGCAAACGGCAGTGAAAAAGGCGGGTAGAAATAACGTGTAACAATTACGGTACCAACAAGCATGGAAGTTTCAACAATTTGACCTGGTTAAGGCCACTACCAAAATCATCTCTCCGTGCAAAAATAACCGGTCCAAAAAGGACCCAAGGATTTGGGCTACCCATGGACCCATGGGGTCAGGAAGAACCATTTTAGAAGTCATTTGGAATTGCTGAAACATGTGAAGCCAACAAGCACCAACCTATGACCAAATGTCCAAGTGGCCACTTCGTTGGATTTTGAGCTCCCAACTCTTTGGGCTTTGGACATCTTTGGATCACTTCCTACAACCCATCTCTTTTAACTGAACAAAATTGAATTAAATATATTCAATGGGCTCAAATGCAAAACCAAACAAACGTGCCCCAAGCAAACTGGGCCACTGGGTGATGCATCTTGCCGGGCAAATTTGATAGGAAGATTCTCAATGAGTGCTGATATATTGGAGTCGTTTCTGAACCAACCATGCACAGTACTGAACCCGTTAAATATGTGCAAGGCTGATCCACTTCCAACTCCTCTCCACATCTCTCCACATCTCTCCACAAAGCCCGAAGAATCTTGAGACTCACATCAAACATCATCAAACCAGGGCTGAGATTCGCTGAGATCATGAAATCTCCAAGATTTCTGGCAAAGTCTCCTAGGATCTTACAGGATCTTACAGGCCTCCCCTGGCCCTAAATATCCTAAATAGAATCTAAATAGAT